TTAATTCTTCAGCTCTGTTCTGTTTTTGATCTCCTCTACTCTTTGATCTTCTCCAGCTTCATCGAGTTTTGACCGAGGGACACGAGGCCTGGGGACAGACCGGGACAGACCGGGACAGACCGGGACAGACCGAGTCTGGAGGACGGGCCTTAGACACAGAAGACAAGAGGAACTTTGTGAAATCGAACATTGCTTCGTCACCTCGTGTGAAATATGTTTGAATATTAAAACTTTGTAAAAATCGTTTGATGCAGTTGGAAACAGCGGACATGAAGGTGACGTCATGGGTTCACTTTGTGCTCTGGACATAGATAACGTGACGTCAGCTGCTGCTCGGACGTTAACGACACGTCACACAGGCCTTCAGACCTTCAACCCAGGGGGCGGAGCTTCGCTGTGAGAACAGTCAACATCTGTCATGTTTTTAAACATCACATCAAACACTAACAGTCTGATGTGTTTAATGTTTGTCTTTCTTTTGTTCACTTTCTGACGTCACCTTCTCATCTGTGTTTGTTTGTTTACAGAATCCTGATAAACTTTCTTGAACGTGTGGAGATTCAGTTTCCAACTTAAAAACTTTGTTTATTCACGAGCAGAATAAATAAAGTTATTTTTAATATTAGAAACGAAGCAGAAACTGTTTAAAATCTCAGACGGAAGTGAAATAAAAATCCTCAGAGAAGAAGAATTCAATATTCACTTAGAGCAGGTAGACCTTCACATTAACACACACACACACACACACACACACACACACCAAACACTTAGTGACCGGTGGGTTTTGTCCAGGGCCTCTAATAACCTGCAGCCAAGGGCAGCACCTGAACACCCCCCCAACACACACACAGACAGACACTATAAAAACACACACAACACAATGATGAGTTATTGATTTCTCCAAAAAGCAGCAGCTGGAAAAGACTGTGTGTGATTGTACCGTGTGTGTCTGTGCATGTGTGTGTACCGTGTGTGTGTTGCACACGTGGAGACAACATACACTTCCAGGCGTGCATGAGTTAACACGGGGGTCCAGGCTTTATCTTCTGCATCACCCTGTTGCTACATGTGAGCTAGCTGCGGGACGGTCCTCTGATCAGTACCTCATCTATCCAACAGTCCTGGTTCTGCTCTAACTCACATGAAGTACATGGCAGTACTTATACTACATCTATAGAGATTGACTCACTCAGAATAAAACACATTCGTCCTAAATGACGGTTTAGCAGATACCACGGTACGGACATCGTTACTCATTATGGACAGATGAAGTACGGCAACACACACTGGTCTAATGCAACGTTAACATTCATCATACTACTTCACAGTATCATGGCGTACATGTCATGCACATACGATTTACTCCTTCATCTATATGCACCCGTTACACTGATCTTACCTGCAACACGTGTACATGTAAGCTAGCTGTGGGCGGTTCTCTAGTCAGTAGCTTGACCACGCCCCCAGGACCCTAGGGGTGTCACAAGGTGCCTGTCTATAAATGTAAATATGCAAACAGTGTTTACATTCAAGAGTCAATGAGGTCATCACTAATACGAATAATAATGAATGAAAACACAAGTTACGATCCTCAGATGAGGGTTCGACAATTGTTTCTATATTTCGTTTTACCCCATCGACGGAGATTTGTTGTGGTTTCTCTCTTGTGACAAATGTACTTATTGTAAGTCGCTTTGCACAAAAGCATCTGTTCAATGTAAATGATTTCAGATTCAGATTAAGAGACAGAGAGAGACAATTCAATTCAGTTTTATTTGTGTGGCACCAAATCCTAACATCCATGAACTCCAGACTCTTCACAGAGAAGGTGAAGAGCTTCAGATCTTCTTCATCTAGAGAAACCAACAGGTGAACCATGAGCAGCACTTTGAGTCTGTGGAGGAGAAACACAACGTTTTATTAACGCTCGTTAATAAAACGATCATCAGATTTGAACTATTGTTCCTTTGATGACTCAGATCTTTTGTCTACTGTGTGTTTGATTTGTGGGACTCGTGACTCGTTGACATGAAAAACACTGAACGTTCTGGTTCTTGACGAGAACACGTTTGATTTCGGACTCAAACTCACGTATCATATAAATAAACGTGGCCCTGGTGGCTCAGCCGACAACGCTCCGTCCAAACACCGTCACACGACCTGGTCAAAACATTGAGTGAGAATCCCGTGAGCTCAGGTGCGGCAGGTTCAGTCTAAACCTCCGTCTGTTGTGCTCACTCACCTAGTTTACAAAAAGCACAACAGCGCCTCCTGCTGAGGAAACTCAGCATGGACATCTGAAGCCTGGACACTGGTTGAATCCGTCCTCACCTTCAACACCTGGTTCACCTCCAAACACTAAAGCCTCTCACATGAAGGACGTGATGTTGAGTCTCTGTGGGACGGACTGTTGTGATGTTGAGTCGAATGTAGAATCCTTCCTTTGATCAACATCCTTCACATCAGCGTCAGATTCTCTGGATCAATGATTCTACAGAAACATGATCAGGATCAATTGATAAATTCAGGGTTTCTGTTAAAGGACGTCTCCAGATGCATGATGGGATACAGTGTGAGCAGGTCAAGTCACAGGAGGCGTGTCCTCGTCTTGTTTCTTCTGACTCCTCTGAAACACAAAACAACACACACAGCTGTTTGTGTGTGTGTGTGTGTGTGTG